AGGACCCAGACTGGGGAAGCTGGGCTAGATGTTAAGAGTGGACTCTGATGATGTGCAAGGACATAAACTCTTAAACTGCATAGAATTCTTCAATAAGTCTGGGGAATTGGTGGGTCTTTTGCATGTATTTTTCTTGATCTAATTGGTCATTTGACCAATCAAACCTTCTACGAGTATGAATGAGGTACAAAGTTCTTTATCCTACTCTATTAATTTTGAAGATAAATTTATCTATTGCCCATTCCTGATGTACTCTTACAGTAGTCTCCCAAACCTTAGTAAATGTCTGGAATATGGAAAATCCAGCTCAGGTTAGCAAACTTCATGTTCCACAATGAGGAATTGAAACTTAACTGAAAAATTAGTTCAGAGTGAATCAGACAATACTGATTAATTGCAGTGCTAGAGTATCCTACTTTTCCCCCCAAGACTTTGGGGCAAACCAAGAGAGCTGCTTTTCCGTTTTACAATTTATGATTCAGTGAGCTGGATTCATGTACAGTAATGGCCTGAAAGTCATTTTCTGGTCACCAACTGGAAATTCACTGATTTTGCTCTAGCATAATCTACTGTAAAAGATAAAAGACTTCCTATATCCATTATAATATTTAATTTTCAAAATGGGGTAAGTAATGCTTTCCAGGTAAGGTAGATTACAAATCCTGTCACCCCAATCAGCATAGCTAGAGATGACAGGGTTATTTTTCCAAAGCATCTGGAGGACATCAGCTCAGTGGAGATTGTTCTGAAGGGTCACCTTCATCCCTTCCTGTCACATTTGAACAGGGTCAAAACTTAACCATATCATTTCTGTAATTTCCTCTGCTGTGTCCAGTGAATCCCCACGGCCAGGTACGTGAACTGACTGGGTCCATTCTAAGAGGTGGTCTGAGGGTCCCTGTTATGTGAGGAGGAGGTATCTCTCTCCTCACCCATTTTGACTTCAGACTCCCAAACTATTCATATCAATTGCCTTTATTTTTATGGTTAGCCTGGAAATGTTTCCCAGCCTTGAGCTCTGCCAGTCCTGGAAAGAGCTGGGAGATACAATTCCACATAGAAAAGTCCTTGAAATGATCTCTCCTGCTCTTAGCAACCAGAGGATTAGGTTGTTCGGAAAAGAAAAGGCAAGGACAGCAGAAAGGAGAGGAAGAAAATGGAAATGGGAGGAAGGATGGAAGAAAATCCAGGAATGACAGGGAAAGAAAAATGAAAAGAAAGGTAGGAAACTATATCACCAATATGAGTTGAAAGAAAAGATGGGCAGAATGGATCTAGGAATATATATTTCTTGTACTGAGGACTGAGAGATATATCAAGGAAAAGAAGCCACCTGTTTAACATGAAAGAAAAAGAAACTAAAGAAAACAGGATTAGAAATTCTTTTAGCTATTCAAAACGAACGGTGCAGACGGGGTTGCATATAAAAGTCTGGCGTTAGAATTAAGTGATTTAGTCAACGCAGACTCAGATGAAGTTGAACCCCAGGCAACCCCCTAGATGGTTGATGGACCTTTTGTATCAGGAGAAACATCCATCTGTTTTTACTAGCAGTTTTGAATGTGGCTCCATTGACTCGAATAGGATTCTTCTTGAGAAAACAGACTTGAAGGTTGTATCCACTGGTTTGTTCATGACTAGAGTTTGGGGATGCTTTCCGTCACAAACTTCACACTTGATCTAGTTTCTGGTGAACTTGGCTGATCCAAAGAAATGAGAAGCTTCCAAAGCAATGAACGAAGGGATCCGTTTAGAATAGAGGGGTGGATGATGGCGTCAGCTGAAAAAGTGTCCCATTTCATTCTTCCTACTGTCTGTTTAGATAGATTTTTCTGCAGCGCCTTGTTGCAATCAACAGAAATAACCAAATAAATATTGAAGCCTAACAGTGTGTTCAACACAGCTGTACTTAAACACCTAGCTTATATTTTTAGAGGTTTTGAATTTAAAGCCTTTTCATCATTTGGTATTGCTTTTCTCTGATGTGGGTGCAGACTACAACTTCAGGCTGCTATCTTACATGCTCACCTGGGAGTAAGTCTCCCGGAGCTTAGTAGGCTTTCTGACTAGCTGTATCCTGAATTGCACTCTTACAAGAAAACTGGTATCAGTATTAACCAAAAATGTTTTGCATTCACTGCAACACATTTAATACAGCTACCCTTCAAAAAATCGCACTGCCATTATAACTAGGAAATAAAGAACTATAAGTTACATCGAAATTAAGAAATTAACGGGGTCTGTTGCTCAGCAAAGCTGTAAGCTATTCCCTAGTTTAGGAACAGAGGGTTTTAACTATTTTATTATTGAAATGTTGTCTTGTAAAGAACCTCTGTTTGAAAAGAGGTGTATAAGCCCGTAAAGAAACAGAAACCAATAAAAGATGTCCGAGGGGGAGAGCAGATCGCAATTCCTTCTTGGTCTTCCGGGCTGGGAAAATGTTGCTAAAGAGTGCGGCTTTATCTGTTGGGCCCTAAGATTTGGCGGTGTGACACCCAGTTTGTCAGGACATTGTCTTAAATGGGGTTTCTTGTTAGGTAACTAGGGATGGGACTGAGCTTCAGGCTTGGTTCTGGTTAACTTGAAACCAATGAAGAGAAGCTCCAGGGAGAAAGGCGCTCAACCCAGCCTCCCCTTGTCTTTACTGGGTGTTTATAGTTGAAACTTACCAGCTCAAAAATAGGTGCATGTATGCACGCACACACACATACACACAAAGATGGACAAATACGCAACAACAGATTCTACAACAGCTAGTTCAGGCAAGACCCCTTTTACTTTGAATCATATGGCTAAAGACAAAGATTTTTTTACACCCTGTGCTAAATATTTGATCATGGAAGGTAACTGTCCAAAGCGAACATCTCAGCTAATCAGAGGATTACTAAAACGAAATCAATCTAGGTGAGGTCAGCGGCAGCTGCTGTGAGATCTCCACTGATTCCCTTTCAATAGTCAAGGCAGCTCATTCTGGCTGGTGTAAAATGGCACTGCAGAGAAGTGCGTGGTGGATCGAGGCCTGATCTTGCCATCCTAAGCATTTCTCCACACAGATCGATCCTACACCTCTTCAAAGGGCCTTCTCCAGGTCAGATCCACCCCGAGGATTTAGAAAGCAAACTAGTAACGCCTCTGGCAGCACCCGTGCTTCCTTGTGAGTAAGCCCCGTCTTGCTCAGGGGTCCACCCGCGACCTATGGATGTAGTCTAGAGACTTCTAGGAATTTATCACCCAGTTGTGACTTGAATTTAAGGCCTGTGGAAGGTAAGCGGCTTTGCTTCCGATTCCACGGGCAACAGTTCAAAGCGAGCAGGCGGCTCTCACCGAAGGTGGCAGAAACAATGGGCCAATTTCCAAGCCTGATCCTATGCCGGCTTATTCGACAGCAACAAGCCTCAGGGCAGGAAAAAATGTCAGGGGGGGAGCGGGAAGAAGGAGCAAAGGCAATCTGTGGCTGAGCAAGCCATGTCTCACGTTTTAGCTATTGGAAAAAAATAACAGGATATTTCCCTTGATAACTGAATGGGGAGGAGATCAGTTTCTTTTTGGAAGCAATGTCGCTTTCAATATCACCTGATCGGAACTCCCCCAACTCTCTTTTCCACCGCCTTACCATCGAACAGGAATTCTGTTTTGCTCCGAAAGGGTCCTGATGGACATTACTTCTCTATGTCCTTCTTGAGTCAATATGTTAGCGGTTTGCAACGTTTGATCTACGCCAACTGTCTTGCCAGGTTCCTCTGCTTGGGGAATAACATTGACACCGGTCCTCTGCTATTTCAAAGGCAACAAGCCACGTTAACACCAGTTAAATCGTGTCAACGAGCCGGGAGCAGGGAGAAGCGGAGCAGCGGAAGAGGCCTAACACCAGTGTGAATTTCAACGGTGGGATCGCCCTGCCTTGCCTTTGGAATTTTGAAACACAGCAAAACTGAATAGCTGCCTTGAAACTTGTCATATTTTAATGTACCTTATTATATATAAATATTTAATATATATGTATATTAAATATTTATATATAAATATATATGTAT